TTTTGCAGGCACTTTATTAAGCGCTTGCAATAACCTATTTTGCAGGCACTTGACTGGAGTGCCTGAACCTTGCCTAATCTGCAGGCACTTTTAAACGCCTGCAATAACGTAATTTGTAGGCGCTTTAAAGGAAGTGCCTACAACAACCTGTTTTCAGGCACTTTATTAAGCGCTTGCAATAACCTATTTTGCAGGCACTTCCAAAAGTGCCAGCAAAACAGGTTTCAAACACCCGAGCTGCACCTGGAGTATGCTTCCTCAGGGTTGAAAAATCCTAATTTTCAAGCGCCTGACAAGCGCCTGAAATAACCTATATATATAAGGTCTCAAAAAAATGCCCAGAATCACCTTTTTTTTACCCCTGCATACTCTGTTTTCAGGCATTCTAAAGTGCCTACAAACTCCGAAAAATTCATTTTTAAAATCAGTCATAAAACAACAAAAATTCATTCATCCATATATTCAAAATATTTGTTAGTTTATACATCTATGACATTGATTAAAATTAACAGATAAAACTAAGCAACTAAGCATTACTGGAGAGGAAAACCACATATTCCAACATCAATTTCCAATAACATGGCAGGACCTTGACAAGTACCTGAGCTACAACTCTATGACCCCTGTAATCTATTATAGACATAGCAAGATTATATAGTCCAGGGAGATCAGCTTCCTGGTAGGCTTTGGTGCCTTTCAAATCGTTATTTGCAGAGGCATATGTAGCCTGCTCATTCTCAGCCAACAGTGTCTCAGAGGAGCCCAGAGATGATTCTATTAAACTATCACTGTCTACCACATTCAATCCACAAAAATTCTCCCCATTTGCAACTGCACCATCTCCACGCAGTATATCATTAGATAGTTTATCAGATGAACTAAGTGAAGCATTTCTGCTCTGAATGTTTGAATTACCATCTGATGCTTGCTTTCTGGATACTTGTTCAAGGTCAGCATTCACAGCAAAGCTGAAGAAAATGTTATTGTGAACATACCTAAATATCAAAAATAAAATATAAAGAGCTGTTAATCCAACAATAGGGACAAATACTAACTTATAAAGGAAAAATATGACAAGATAAATAATAATAATAATAACAATAAAGAAGTAATAAAAAATACAATAGGATATGTGTACTTGGTCATCCCAAACGATTCAGAAAGCAAGCCAATATATTGAAAAATCATTGCTTAGTAATAGGGTGCCATAGATCTAAGAACAGAAACCTTTATCAAGTGATGAAAGGATTTGGGGTAACATGGGACTTAACAAATAAGTGTTCACCATTAATAACAACTGACATTGGAAAGGGATATGTGAAATATCTTAGCAAAGCATCCTAAACAAATCCACAAATAAAAACAAAATAATAGAGTAAAGCTGTAGAATTATTTTATGGCATACTAACATGTGAAAGCACTCTGGATCTGTTGGATTAATAGGAGGTACACATCTGTTGATGACCCCAATAGCCAGACTAATTGCTGCATCAACAAAGTCAGAAGTCACTTTGTAGAGAGCTCTAGCTCGCAAAATCCTGCAACAAAATCATCTCAATGAGCTACAGGAAGCAGAAAGCAGAATGGCAGAGACAAAACATGTCAGGAGACCAGTTCATAAAGATTTGACTCAACTAGAGATCAAAAATACCTCTCCTGAGGATTTGTGTGGGGAAATTCCCGACTAGATTGCAATTCCTCATTCCAATCTGTTTGCATGCCAATCAACTCACTACCATAAACTGAGATTGGCAGTATATATAAAATTCTTTCATTTTTCTTAGTTTACACATTACAGTTTGTGTAATAGGTGAAAATAAGAAGAACCATAAACTGAACTATACAGCTTCTGTGACAGCACTATCATAATGTCCCTAAACCATAAAATTGCTGGACAGCATAGATAGTTTTCTATGATCTCCCCATGATTGAAACCTAGCTCTATATATGTATCTGCATTCATATAAGATTAAAATTAAACAATGTTTTTCTCCTCAACATCAATCCAATTCTATCCTACTGTCTTTTAATTATATGGAAACCTGGGGTTGAAGGGGCACTCAAAACTTAGAAGCCACCAGATTCGTGAATCTTTAGACATGAATCATTTAGCTTAAATTTACATTTTTTATGTTAGCTTAATAATAAATATCATTTTTCTCTTGATCAAATAATAAATAAAACTTCATTTTTCTTCTTATGCCAAAGACGGAAAGTGCAGAAAATAAATATTTAGCAAATATGTGAATTTATAAAACTCAAAACTACATTACAAAGTACTGTTATGCATTGTCTACCACTCTGAGTATTACCTCCATTTGAAATGACAACACTATTAAATCAGCATTTAGATAATTACGATAATTGACCAAAAAAATTCATGTAAAGGCATTGATTGATTCAATATCCAGACAAGAAAGCAGTAAAAGAAGCAGAACATCAGGGGGGAAAAAAAGACTTAAGGAATGCTGATAATTAATTCATGCTTGAAGCTGCTAACACCTCACTCTGAATTAATATCGAAATCCTCATTAAACTGAGCTCAACAGATACCAAATACATATTAAGATCAAGCATTCAAAGAATTCCAACCACTCAAATTATTCTAACACGTGCACTATCGAATTTAGCAGTATAAACAATGCAGCTCCAAAATAAGCCATTCCAAGGAATTTAGCAGATAATTACCTCCAGTGGTCTTGCACTGCACAGCACCGATCGGAAGCACCTTTTTCGGGAAGTTTGCGAAGAGCGGTGGTTAGTCTCCGTTGGCAGCAGATAATTACCTCCAGACGGTGAGATTTGTTACCAATTACTCCCTCGATTGTTTCCTGCACAACCAGACAGTGAGATTCGTTACCTTGACCATCTCATCGCCACCGCCCGAATGTTCATCATATGTTCAATTCTAAAATTTTAGAATCATAAACAGGGGATTTTGAAAATCTAAGAACAAGACACAAACCTGGAGTACTTGATGAGATTTGAAGGAGAAGGCACAAAGGATAACGTGAAATCAAAATCAAAATGAATATCAAGTTCTGAAGAGAAATCAAAATCAAAATTGAAGCTGCAATTACTGGAACCTAATGAAGAGATTTGAAGCTTGCCTACTACAATTGGTTAGGGTTTCTGCTTACCCAAGGGAGAGAATCTGGAAATGAAACAGAGAGTTTGGAAATGAGAAGAACGAAAGAGAAATAGAACTGAAATAGAAAAGAAATAAAAGAATGAAAAAGTCGAGGTGATTTTGAGTTTTGGGAAAAAAATAAAATAGAAATAGTAACAAAAGAGATTTAGTTTTGGGAAAATAACGCGGGTTTTGGGAAAATAACGTGGGGGCATATTTTTGGAGGTATACTGACGTGATGTCGTTTTGCAACCTTATTTTTAATTTGCAGGCGCTCCTCAAGCGCTGGAAATGGATGACATTTACATATACATAAATGAAACGCCACAACACATAGAAAAGCGCCTGAAATAAAGTGCGAACAAATCTCAAAATTCTTGTAGTGGGCGCACGCCCATTCTGTTAGGATGATTTAATTTTGTTAACGAAAGGAATTATGGTTCAAAAATTCTGTGGTCATGCTCACTCCTACTTTGTTAGGATGATCCAATTTTGTTAACGAAAGGAATTATGGTTCAAAACTTCAATGGCTGCCCTTTCTTGCTTAACGAAAGGAATGTGCTAAGTGTTTTATGTATTGTAAATTATTATTTTTATTGGGATACTATTTAAAATGAGTTAGAAAACTTTTTGTACTCTTAATTAATATTATTTTTTGATTTACTAAAAAAAAATGATTTAATTTTTGTAGTATAATTATTAAAAATAATTAATAATTGATAGAAAAATTGATATTTATTATTAAATAACTTAAAATTAATTTATAAATAAATATTTTTAAACATCATAATTAATAATTAAAAACTTATAAATAAATAAAATATTAATTAAATTAAATAAATTTTAAATAATATTTATAAAAATAATGAATAATCAAAATCAAGCCAAAAGAAAAGCTAGTGAAATGTGTTTTGTTTAACTATTTAAAAATAAATAATAACTAAAAATAACTATTAATAATAAATTATTAACAAAAAGTCAATCCAAACAGGCCCGTAACTTCAGAAGCTTTTTTCCAAATTGCAACAAGTTCCAGGTGATACAAGGATAAGTTACTTCTTGTATAACAAAGTATTTTTTACAATTAGTTTGCCATTTCCAATTCAAGTCAAATTCATGACCTACATATCAGATATGACAGATTACGAGGGACAAAAAAATTCTGCCTCTTATGAAAGAGGGTTGTAACTCAACCCAGCCACAACTTTAGAGCTCCAATGGGCAAAAATTGGTGTGCATATGTGATCATACAGAGGTGGAAGACGACGGGACTGCCAATTTATTAAGACATCGTCTAAAGTTACAGCAATGTGCCTGACCCCTCCCCAGCATGTCCCAAAGATACATCATCTGCCCTGGGTGTTGGTAATGGGCGGTATAGTAGTTCCGCACGCAGCCATATTGACTCTAGTCGTGGGAGTACTAGATGCTAGAAAAGGAAAGAAGAAAACAGGTTTTGGGGCGTAATCTTCTCTTTTTTTTTTTAAAGATTTATAAATCTTTCAAAATATAATATCATTCAAAAACTCTCTTTAAAAAAAGTGTAAAACTTAAACCCTATAAGAAATTTATATTAGTCAAATGGATATGACGGAGGGTATATGTTCCTATAAAAAGATTCAAGTTAAAGGATGTATCCTTACATAAAAAACATTAGTGAAAAAGATATATTTCTACCGAAAGATATATAAACAGTATCTGGTATAAACAATATTTGTATCTAGTATAAACAATATTTGTATCTAGTATAAACAGATCTACATAGCTAAATCCCTTAGAATCAGGAGCATATTTGTATACAATTATAACTCTTCTAGACTCTATGCACAAGGTTAGCTAAGTTATGATTCCGATATGGTTTTTTTGCATATATATGTACAGTGACATACATTATGAATGAATAAGAAACATTCAGCAATTTACATAGTATCAGAGCAGGAATTCTTCCTACGGCTTCATTTTCTTCTTTTGTCTCACTATGTCTACAGAATCCACAGCCCCCTCTGCACCAACTAATACTTAATTAGATTCCTCATCGCCATTTTATTTACACCATTCAGACAATCCTAGAACTGTTCTTGTTTCTCAAGTTTTACAAGGTGATAATTATCCCACATGGAGCAGGGCCATAACCATGGCTTTTGAAGCCAAAAATAAGCTTGGTTTCATAGATGGCCGTATCCCACAACCAGCAACAACTTCTCCAAATCATGCAATCTGGAGTCGATGCAATAGTATGGTTCTATCCTGGCTTCTTAATGTCGTTTCGAAGGAAATTGCAAGCAGTGTTGTGTTCATGAAAAATGCCCCTACAACGTGGATAGATCTACAAGACCGTTTCTCCCAGTGCAATGCTCCTCAGATTTTTGAGATTCAGAGATCAATTGTGAATCATCTACGGTGGAATGATTCTATGACAACTTATCATATAGGTTCGAAAGCATTTTTTAGTTCTTCGAAAATTTTTATTATTATAATAAAAACCCAAACTTCAACGGTGCATCTCTTTATACCCTTTCAAATATTTATATTATTTCATAGCCTCCTCTTCATGTACACAATAATGTAAAGATTATTATATAAAAATGAGTGTAATTTTGAATATGGTGAACAATGAAAATGAATTGATTGGCCAAAAAAGAAAAAAAACAAGAAACCAGAAAAGGTAGATAAATTAGATTTCATGGTCTCAGCCGCACAAAATCATCACACGACAAAATCAACCCAATAAGAATGACACTAACACGGATGTGAAATTCAGGAAAAAAAAAAATTTGATGGGAGAGATTATCTATTGATCCTTATTCCTTCACGTACTGCAAACAATTTGTCTGCACGTAATGTTCATCTGGGATACAGTTGTGCTGCTTTCGAAGTTTCTACACATGATGGACAAGACTATCAATCACTTGCAGGGAAAAGAAGCATTATGTTTGAAGTAAAACTAGCAGCACAATTATATCGATGAGGCAACCATATATGGCCTGGAGGGTTGAGCGCTGTTTCTACTCAACATGCTACTAGTTACAAAATATATAAAGAATAAAAATTA